GAAGAAGGGGCAGGTTTTGTTGTGGAATGAGGTGAGGCCGGGTAGGGAGCAGTCTCTTCTCTGGGGGAGTAGAGAGAGCGCAGGGGACAGGGAGAGAGCTAAGTCCCAGAAGTAGAGGTGGCCTTCTTGGTCACTTTACTCAGAGCTGTCCGGAGTGACTTTTCACTCTGGTGGCGGGTGGGTGTGAGGACTGTGCCAGGACGGCTGCTCTGACTCTGACTCAAGCAAGGATAGAATCCACACTTCACTCGCGGTTGCCTCATCCAGCCCCCAGTACACTCCTGATGTCATTCTTCCCTATATTCAGTTGAGGGCATGCTCCCAGTCATTGATAAAAGAGCCAATTTCAGTGTCCCATATCTTAGGCTTCTCTATAGTAAGATAATGTAAGCTTTCTCTCTTTTTTCAGTCACATAAGCATCTCTTGGTCACATTTTTTGCAATCTAGAAAAAAATTGAATGAAAAATTAGAAGTCTCCTCCTGTCCACAAAGGTATCTGAGGGAACATTGTCTATTTTGTAAGAGGATATGAGTTCTAACCTGAGCGAAAGAAAATTAAAAATAATCCATTGAAGCTAGTGACAAATTTATCACCTAATTTTCAGACTCCGGTTCTTCTATTTCTGACAATTCACTATGGCCTGTACACCACTTTCAGGCTGTCCCTTGTCTTTGCATTATTGTCCTAGTTTTTTGCCCAGGTTATTGCCTATTATCTGTTTTTTTCCCAAGAATAACAAATGAGTATATGTCCCACATCCCTTTGATTAAAGGATCTTTCTAATGACCTTTCCAAACAAAAAAGACTTCCTCAAAGAACCTATACTTTGGAAGGGGTCAATAAACATATATAAATATTTGTTGGAAAGAAATGAACTGTTGCTTCTAAGCTGGCATCCCCATACATTAGGTTTATTTTCATTTGCTGACAATCTGAATTTTAAAAAGACAAAGCCAATATTAGTCCTGCACTTCATAAAGACTAACTTATACAAGAAGAGTCTGTCAAACAAACAAACAAAATTTATAATAATTGATCATGAACTATAGAGATAGGTTCTATCAAGAGAAAAAGTAGATTTCTGGCTGTATAATTTCAATAATTAAATTTGACACAAATGTAGACTCACATGAAGTGTTTTCATATCCAGCCTGGAGAATGAAGCTCCAGGTGGTATTTTCTGATGATGCTCAAAAGGAAATTTTTTATGATTCTTGAATGAGAATCAGTGACTCAGAATCAAGTACACCAAAGGTACTTGATGGTTGGTTTGTAAATAAATGAAGGGTTGTATATTACAACCTAATACAATAGACTGGTAATGCACCAACGTTCAAGAAAGTTTCATTTAAAAAGTTGGGATTAAACATGCTTCAATTGCACTAAATTTGAAGGGATGCAAAAATTAGGAGAAATGTCCCAGCTTCCACTTCTGCCTGAGTGAGGAATGAGAGAAGATAGTCACACTCAAGGAACACTCAGATGGGTAAGCCAAGAAAGAGGAATCCAGCCAGCACATTAATTCTATGCACTGTCTGTCATCAATAAGAGTTGGTTCTATCTTATTTTAAAAAGAGGAATTTCTGTGAAAGGCCCATGTGATGTTTTTGGCTTATAAAAAGAAGTCATGGAAGGGCTAGCAAAGCAGAGCTAGTTTTCTAGTTGGGTGTAGTTTTCTAGTCTAGTTTTCTTCTTGTTCAGAAGCCTGAACAAGAAAGTATCAGAGGTTTTGCAGAACCCGACTAAGGAAGGAAGAAACCAAATGCTTATTAAGTTATCCCCATTAGCCAGATACACTGCTAAGTTTTATTTCATTTAACCTCCCGTATAACGCAGTGAGGCAGTTATGTTTTTCTCCACTTTACAAATGAGGAAACTGAAGATCCAACAGTTTGTCCAAAGTCACACAGCTAGAAAGTGGCAGCCAGATTTCCAACCTTAAGTCCTGCATCCTTAACACGAAGGAGAGGAAATGCATCTCAAAGCCTGGTCCTAAATCATTATTCCTTTCCTAAATAAATTAAACAAAGAGAACCATTGCATTTTACAGGTTAATCAACTATATAAATTGCCTCAAAGTTGGGAAGAAGGAGTTCTTGCATTTAGATTTGAAACTCAATCGGCTGTCTGGTTTTCTATACAGTTAAATGTAGGTTACCATCGAGTATGTGACATTCAAACATGTATTTTCATTGTTTAGGCTAAGCTTTACTTGACATTAATAGATACAAATGAAGAATCAGCATTCCTAGTATCTTTTACAAGATTTTTTCCAGTTCAGGCTTTCTTTGCCTGGGAAGTTATTTACAATACAACCTTGTCTTGTATGATGCATACAGGATACCAAAGTACACTGGCACAAAGGAGTTGACATGAATATTAGTTCTCATTATTCCAAAACACAATTTTTGAAGTAAACACTAGTCTGAGAGCTTTTATGTATACCAGTTCATGTGCAACGTTCCATCACTTTAAAGCACATCCAAACATGGTGTTTTCAAAGATTACGAAAATTTTATTAACAAAGAAAATCTGCATTATATGCATCCCCTTTAAAAACAACCATCTCAAACATACAGGAAACACTTTGTTTTCTATTCACTATTTCATCAATGCCCGAAGAATGAAATCGCAACACCCAGGTACAGACCACTATTTTTGAAGGGGATAATCATTTGAGATAAAGAAGCACTTGAAAGTCAGAAGAAACAAATCAAGGTATTCATTTCACAGGCTGAACCACTGAAACTTCATCCAAACAAATGTTTCCACTGTGAGTCAATATATTTGGCCACCAGATCTTTTGAACACCATCCTGAACATACAGTGTACATATAAAACCTGGCATATAGAAGTACTTTGTATCTTTTGCATATAAAAAAGAGCTGAGAGCCAGTGTGACTTACAGAAATGTATGGCTACATAGCAGTAGTTCAAAGACGATCACTAGAAAACAAAGATATGCTTCATGGTAGGTTATGATTAGTATTTCAGAGCAAGTTTTCGGTTTGTTTCTGATTATCTTTAAATAACCACGCCACTGTTGTCCCTCAGAATTTCCCTTGGATACCCTGTACCTGACCCTTCACTAAAAATCTGTAAACATATTCCAGATACACTGCATGCAGGAGGGGAAGTACAAGGATATTAAAAGATTCTGATGTCCTGGACAGCAATAGAAAACCCACACACAGAATGCGTTCTCGCTGTCAGAACACTGACGTTGCATCTGGAAACCCCTCCAAAGAGATCAGATAGACAGACATTTAATTTAAAGTGGGAAGAAAGTTAGGCTTGTTCCTTGACTACAGTTTCTAGGGCCTGGGGTAGCTGTAGTTTTAGGCATGGTTCCAAGGAGCCGCCTACACATTTGGAGGGAGAGAGGGAGGCACAGATGGTGGTCACGTGAAGGCACAGACCGATCGAGGGGGCTCGGTTACAAAGTCTGTACATTTAGGCTGCTGGATTCCTCCTGTTTCAAGTACTGCCAAGTTCCGGCTGTTCCCCCTCTTTCCAAAGTCTTGATTCATTTAATTCTCCTGAAGGAGGTGGGAGGGAGGAGATTGCGCAAACCTTTCTGTTTTATGGCTTAGAAGAGACAGTCCCCATCTTGGCTTCTTGTCAGATGTTAAATATATCATTTTGCTAAGTGTGAAGCTGTGTGTCTGTTCCTTTTCTGTTGCCGTTATTGTAGCTTCAATATTTGCAAAACACAACCTCAAAATACTTCAGATCCAGCCCAAAGCAGTTTGTTATTCATGCAACACAATTCTTAGTTGTATCAATACCCTATGTGTCTGTAAACCAGGAATCTTTGTTTTGTTCCTGTTTTCTTTTATTCATTTTTTTTGTTGTTCCTTCTTTCATGTTTTTTTTTTCTTTCTTTGGGGATTCAAGAATAATTCAGTCACATAGTAAGCAAAATCCTTATGTCTATCTATCAACCAATACATATAGATTATATAATGTATGCTGATTATTTTTCAAGCTCATCACCACACCAGTTCTTACTAGTTGCATTATTTAGAAAAAGGAAGTACATAAGCTAAATTATTCTACCATTTAACATACCCTGTGAATCGCTTGTAAAGCGTAGAGCACCTTAGTGATGTGTAGAATTTAAATTTTCTAATATAAAAACCTGTAGTGTTCACTATAAAAAGTTGTTAGAGGTACACAGGGTGTTTCCATGGTGCCTAATTCATCATAACTAGCATTAAAACACTAGTTTCTCACTCCTTAAAGAAAGCCTACAACATTCTAAATTCTCCATCATTTTCTTTATAGAAAATTGTCAACACCAAAATGGATTCAGTTATTGGGATTGTTTTTTTTTTAATAGGCATAAAGTATTTTTTCAGGTTATCAGCAGGACACTTGGGTGTTCTGTCCATGTAACGTGTGTGTTCAAGCCTATGTCCAATCTTATTCACTAAGCTCTCCAATGTGCTTTCTTGGCCTGAGCTCATGTGTAAGAAGGCCATTTTTTTTTTGAGAGGGCATCTCTCATATTTATTAATCATATGGTTGTTAACAACAATAAAATTCTGTATAGGGGACTCAATGCACAATCATTAATCAACCCCATGCCTAATTCTCAACAGTCTCCAATCTTCTGAAGCATAATGAACAAGTTTCTACATGGTGAACAAGTTCTTACATAGTGAATAAGTTCTTACATGATGAACAGTACAAGGGCATTCATCACAGAAACTTTCGGTTTTGATCACGCATCATGAACTATAAACAATCAGGTCAATTATGATTATTTGTTTGATTTTTATACTTGATTTATATGTGAATCCCACATTTCTCCCTTATTATTATTATTATTATTTTTTTTTTTAAATAAAATGCTGAAGTGGTAGGTAGATGCAAGATAAAGGTAGAAAACATAGTTTAGTGCTGTAAGAGGGCAAATGTAGATGATCAGGTGTGTGCCTATAGACTAAGTATTAATCCAAGCTAGACAAGGGCAACAAAACATCCACGAATGCAGAAGATTTCTCTCAAAACAGGGGGGGTGAGGTTCTAAGCCTCACCTCTGTTGATCCCCAATTTCTCACCTGATGGCCCCCCTGCAACTGTGCCTGTCTTAGGTTGTTCCTCCCTTGAGGAATCAAGAAGGCCATTTTTAAAGCAAGTCGACAGAAAAAGGTTTTTACATCTGCTAATCAGGTGTTTTATCTGGGAGACATGAAAGATATTTACTATCCTTCAACTAACAGACTTAACATTTTTGTTTAGATATTTACTGTGGGTAGAAGTTGACACTACCATCACAATCAATGAAATTGTTCATTTATATTCTAAGGCAAACAAGAAAATGGCTTTCTGTTAGGGTAGAACTTCGTGATTAGTAAAGTCCATCAACAGGCAATGTAGAAAGGCAAACAGCTCAATTATTATCTTGGTTTTCTGCTTTCAACAGAGCACACTAATAGAGAAAGTTCTTGAAAACATTTATGCTGCATGAATTTGATTCTGAGTTCCTTCCATAAAACACTGATATTGTTCAGAATTTAATAATAACAATAAGAGAGGGAAGACTCTGCGTTAAGGTTTTTAAGTCACACTTAAAAACAAAACAAAACAAAAAGACCCTTAAAGTCAATGGACCTTTGCTCAAATAAGGACTTCAAAACATTAGTTTAAGCCTCTAGGTTGCCTGTGCCTACGCAATCAATAATAGGATTATGTATCGGATACAGTTTTGTGAATGGAGCACATTGACATTACCCATTTTTCCTCAAAAGTAGTTAGCTGCCAAGAGAGAGACTTCACGACATATAAATGTGCTATTTGTATAAACATTTCCCATTACAAATTCTCTTGTTTTTGTTTAAGAGTATTTTTAACTTGAGCTATCCATAAAAATGACTATTTTTTCCTCCTTGTAAAGCTTGGCTCTCAGAGGAAAGAATCTTTACACCACCTCTCTTGTGAGAGTAATTTCTCCTAATAACACCGGTGCTACGTAAGTACAGCCAGGGCTCATTAAATAGGCTTCTGAGCATAATTATAATTAACAATTACCTAGAAATTAGTGTTAATGATTTGTTTTAGATGATAGAATGGAAGCACAGTATGATTATTTTTAAACCTTCCACATCATGAGGAATACAACTACCACCCACCTTCCATTACTGAGAAGCAGACAGTCATCTAAGCCTTCAGTAAGTGATCTACTTGCAAAGCCCAACTACGGAAGCTGAAGAGCAAAGGCTGGTACCCCAGCCCAGACACTGGTCATCATTCAGCCTTTTGCAAAGTCTCTTCTCTGTTCTGCTCCTTGAAGCTATGTCATACCTTGAAGACCTATCTACCAGGGGCGGTGGAGAGAGTCAGTCTGGCCTCCCCAAGCCCCTGCATTCTCCAAGACAGAGTGAAGTTAAAGGTGGGAGGGGGGAAGGCCTGGAACAGACTACCAAATTTAGCAAGTTGGCCAGAAATGCCAATCGACACACCAAACTGGGCTGACAGGCAAAAAGATCATGTAAGTAATGGATAAAATGAGTACTCCCACTATCTGAAAGTTCGCTCTACGCCACTTTGCTTTTATGAAAGACTACATTAGTACTGCTTACCCTTACTGATGAGATCCAAAGAGGATTTCTCACTTTTACAAAATGGTTATTGCCATTCTGCCTCATGAAAGGTTTCATAGGAATGATCTGCTTTTGAATATCGTGGGAAACCTGTGTTAGGAATAAACTACAGGCCGGAAGATGGATGTATGCCATTCTTTGCTGTTCGGTGTTCTTTTAATATCCCAAAGTCAATTTGGATCTTACTTTCCCATTAAGAATTTTTAAAGATACTACAGAAACCTGAAGAAATGCCTTTTCATTTCCTGAAAAATATAAAAATATTCATTTAGAAAAATGAAAATTACTGTCAAAAGTTTTTTTCTTTCTTCCTTTCCTCTTTTATATATTTTTTGAACCTCAGCTAGTCAGCGTACTGTTTCCTCTCCCACCTTTCAGAAAGAATGCTAGACGTTTTGCTGCTGGCCTTCGGAAGCTGTCAGGGGGCACATCCTGACACCCACATAAAAGACCTGGTACCTGTGTTTCCACATTACAAAGCAGGCCAGCAAGCACACAAGGCCACAGACCAGGTTAAGAATTATTTGGATGAGTAAGAACAACTTGAAAGTGCCAGTGATGCTGGCACAGTCAGTCACATCCCGGTACACAAAGGTCCTGCTGAGTGGCTCCGAGGAGGGCAGTTTGCACTGGCAGGAGTCGAGCGCGGTTGCGCAGGTAAACTGTGTGAGCTGTGAATAGTGGTGGGCAGCAAACGCCACGGCCAGCACGCACACCACCAGGCCCAGGGCGCTCAGCAGAAAATACAGCAGCTGCAAGAAATCACAAGAAAACCCTTCTGGTTACAAAGAATGTTGGATGACAAAGTTGGTTAATAAAAGCTGTTCTTTTTCTTCTCTCCCAGGAAGGTCCCTCATCAGGGGTATGTCTCTTCTCAGAAATGTAGCATCTAAGACATGGAAGCGGCACCACATTTATTTGTTAGTGAGCCCTCCGTAAGCCCTGATCCACATCAGGACCGATGCTGGGTGCTTTCCATGAGTTGAGCCAACAATATCAGCTTCAATGTGGGATGCTTGTGTGTGCATGTAGCAAGAAGCTTAGATGAATCCCTGACGGAGCCATCCCAGAAACGCTTGCAGAGTTTGTTTTGACCTCAAGAACCACTGATATAAAGATTGAAAGAAGCAAAGAACAAATTACTGATATGTAAACACGGTGTTGTTCCAAACTGGTAAAGACTGGTCAACTAGCAACATGGGGTAATAAACAAGACTAGGTTCCATGTAGTGCCTGCCAAACTACATCCAGGAATGCCAGGATCCCCGGTTTTATCCCAGGTTGCTGGGTTATAAAAGAAGTATGGCTTCAGCAGTACATGAATGATGTCAGCTTTATCACCTACACATCTCAGTCCAATTCTACCTTAAACCATGTTTGTTCCTGAGCATAAAAATAACTCTAAATGGTCCTCAGCCACCATGGTGCTGAACACTGTTGGCCTATGCATTAGCCCTAGGATGGAAAAGTCTGGTTAAAGTTCTAACCCTGCTGCTAAAGAACCCTGAGAGCCCTGACATTCAGACAGTCAGACATTTAGCCGACATCTGAAATATTTTATCACAAGTTGTGGGTGCTCTTTGACACAGCCACGATATAAACCACTTTATAGAACAAGAAATGTTCCTGTGATTGGACTCACTACTGGAAATGTTTCTCTTAATAGTCCCACCTACTGAAGGTCTAGAAACAGAACAGAGACCCCAGCTGTTGGGATGAGTGTATCAAACCCAGTTCTTCATGTACGATGTATATTACAATAGTCAAAAATTGCTTGCAGAACAGTTCTGGTGAATGTGAACTCCCTGAAGGAAGATTAGTTCTAGTCATGTCCAGGTTCAGATTAAGGTAGCTCTGAAAAGATTATGTCCTCCTCCTACTTCCAATATACGTAATTCAAAGTAAAAACATATAGACAAGATTATAAAGTATGTGTCCGAAAGTCCTCCGAATGGGTGATTTTTCTGCACAATTTCCAGTGTTTTCAAGTCTTAGATATAGAATACCTAAACATTAATTTTTTTCTTTCTGGAGTGCAGTGTGTGTGTGTGTGTGTGTGTGTGTGTGTGTGTGGTGGGGGGATGCTGATGCCCTAAGCACATGTCTGGTTTGCTGGGAAGCATCACCGAGAGCACACAAAGAGAGTGGAATGGGTTAAAGCCATTTTGTCTCAATATGGCTGGACAACCAAGGAGTGCAAGGGATTCTTTGGGTCTTTTCACCAAAGATATCTTAAACACACACACTACTTTACTTTCAAATCATCTGAAGGACTGCCAAATATAACCTAAGTTTCCTCACCTGTGAAACAGTTTACAGAGACATCTTATAACTCAGGGATGTAACAAGGATAACTTACACGCAACATGGCCAGTCTGCCGTGGTGGAAGGGAATCTGATGAATTCAAAGTAGGCACCATTATGAAATTTAAAAAGGAAATATTTAATGTGTGATACTGAATGTATCACCTTGGTCTTGTCCCCAAATTTTCATTGGCTGTATTTTCTACAAAAACTGTAGTGCTGGGGCTAAAAAGTATGGGCTTATTTTGTGGGACCATGGGAACAGAATATTTGAAATATTGGGTTATTCTGAAATATTCAGGCTTGACGACTGACTTTTTGAGGCCAATAGCCAAATTAAATTGTGCTAGCTGGGCTGCCCTGGTGTGGTCACTGTAGCTGTGTTTCCAGTGCATGCAGCGTGCAAGTGGAAACCATTTGCTCTGGAAACGTGGATACATGGGTAACTTTACCAGTGGGGAAGGCTCAAATTAAAAGGATAATTTCCCACCAGGGAGTCATCTAACTTAGTAGAATGGCCCCAATTGGAGTTTCTCTACACATCTGACTGCCTTCAGTGGATGGAAGTGACAAGGTCTTGAAATAACCCATCTCCCCTGCACACACACACACACACATCCTTCGCAAATCTCTAGTTAGAACACTCACTGAAGCATTCCTTATCTTGAGGCATTGTATTGAAGCAATGATGATAATCCCTCATTTTCCATCTGTACATAATTCAAAGGATTGTGAAAAATACTGGTCTCTCATAATTATCACAAAAATCCATTTGCTGAAAGAAAAATACTATCTTAAAAAAATGATCCTTTGGCTCAGATAGGAAAAGATTTGCCCAAGAGATTTAACAAGCGTACACCAGCACCCAGGGACGGATCAGGACTGCCTGGGTTCCGATCCTGGTTCTCCCCTCCTTGGCCAGGCACTTTGGGCAAATTAACGAACCCCGTGTTTCTTCATTTATAAACTAGTAATGATGATCCGAACAGCACCTACATCACAGGATCATTATAAGGATCAGTAGAGTTGCCATCTGTAAAGGGCTTCGAACAGCATCTGGTACCTGGTAGCTCTGTTTCAGTACTTGTGAAATTAGCAAATTAGGGGAGATGGAAGAAGCTGTCGCGTCTCAGGACTCAGGATGTCAGCTCCACTGGCTTTGTCTCATTCTGTCCTGTGGGAGTAGCGACGCACACTTGGCTGGCAGAAAGGATGCAAACATTTACACAAACACAGTGATGGCTCAGTTCTAACTGAGCACCGTAAACATGCTGGAAGCCAACGACGAGAGCCCAACAAAAGCGATGCCCTTAGAAGACAAACACATTTTCCTTGGTGCGAATCCCTCACGTCGTGATTCTGCATCTCCCCGTCGGTGAAAGCAGCAGGCCAATAAATAGGGGCGGGCCACGGGCCACCGCATCAAGTTTCTTACCCATCTTGAGACATAAATATATACTTGCTCCCCGCAGGCCTGAGGGCTCCACCGGAAGCGCTATAGTATTTCTCCTTCACGGCGTCTAACTTACCTAAGGGCACCAAGCTTCAGGGTTAGAATCTGTAATTTAAAATCTAGTGGCTTGTTTTGCCCGCCCCGCACGGATAAGCTCTGAGAGGAAGGGTTGCTGATGACCCTGGGGACGCGGGCAAAGGCACCTCGACACGGGCGCGCAGGCAGCAGGCGCGCCGGGCGGGCTCCGCTCGCGGCCGGAACGGGCCCCGGCTGCCCCTCCCGCCCACCTCCCGCCGCGGCCGGCGGACGCTCCCGCCCGGGGCTCCCTGCAGGTGGGCGCGGCGCGATCGCGCCTGAGGTCCCCCCGGGGGGAAGTGCCCGAGGGTCTCTGCGGGCGCAGGGACCCACACGTTTCCGCAGTCGTCAAGGTGGGCCCCGAGAAGGCAGGGCCGCCAGGGAGGGCAGCGGGCCGGGCCCGGCGGGAGGCGCCCCGGCCCAGGGAGGGAGGAGCGCGCGGCGGCAGCCGCACAGGACTGCGAGCTTGAGATGGAAAGACAGGCCCCTTGGCTGCTGTCTCTCCAGAAAAAGCAGATGGGTGTGAGAGTGAGATTGTGCGCGCTCGCGCGCGCGCGCGTGTGTGTATGTGTGTGCGCGCGCGCGCGGTGGGTGCGCGCAGGCTGCAGAGAGACGCCCTTCTCCACCCCCACATTGTCCTCCTGGCTTCTGGGCAGTCAACGGGAGCAAATAGATTCAACGAGGCTTAGGCCCCGGTATCCACATTCCCGCACTAAGATGCATGGACGTGAGTGAGAAACCCCTCCTGAAGATGCGTCTCATCCCTTCCCGGCTTGACAGTGGTGTGGGAAGCACTGGGAAGTCCGCGATAACCTGTTGTGCCTTTGGAAAATCTGGAGATGGACGGAGGCTCGTTTTCCACCTGAAGACAATATAATGGGCACCTCAGAGAGCGAGCAGCAAGGATCACTAAAGGTCATATTCAGGAGAACTGCAAAGTTCTGTAGCTGTCAGTCTGCCACAGGTGGGGGAAAAGAAAAGGTAGCTAATGAGATCTTCCTAGTGGGAGTTCTCCACCTAGCTGGACATTGGCAGTGCCTTTTTGATTTGATTTTGGTTTTTTTTCCTTGCTCCTTATTTTTAAATGCAGATTTGAGATGGTTTGGGGCCCTCTGGGAAGCTGAGCCTGTTGCCCATGCGGGAGCATCTGGAGGGGAAAAGAGGGCATTTTACATAAATTGATTAATCTGGTTTAGAGCAATTTTTACCTGACCAATGACTTCCTGTAATGTAACAGGCCACTTCTTACTATTCTTTCTGGCTTTGTTTTTTTAGGCCTTGCTGTTTAGTCTGACCTCCGCAAACACAAAAGTAACCATGAAGTGATGTCTGTTCTATCTGGACTCAGAAAAAGTAGAATTTCCAAATGTAGGCGTATCCATCGAAATTCCAATTCTCAAGAGAATCCATTCACTTTTTTTAATTAGAAAAGTTATGTCTAACTTACTGGAGAACATTTCAAAATTAGGGGAAAAAACCTCCAAAATGCAGCTATAACCCTGCCACTCACAGATAACTATTTTTTTCTATGCACATAGAGCTATTTCTTTTTTATTTCTGCAGGACCATACCATACATTTTGTATAGCTAGCTTTTTTTGCTAGTTAATGTAATGTGAACATTTTTATTCCATTAATTACTCTGTTCCAAGATGATTTAAATACATATATGCACACACACACATATATGTATATCAGCACAATGCATTTTTATGTTAACGGCTTCAGTCATATGTGGGTAAAACTGTAATTTTTCCAGAATATCTCTCCTGGCATCTGCATATCAACAGGTGTTCTTCAGGGGTGGAGACATGTAGGGCTTTAGTCCATCACCATATCAATAGGTGTTCCTCAGGGGTGGATAGAAATTGATCTCCATATGGAAGGGTAATTACCTGGGCAACAGAGGGCTTATCTGAACCTGAGATGTGAGGGGGAGGGCTGGTTTTACTTCAGCCAGAGCAGGCAAGAGAGATGGCCACAGACTGCAGTTTGTAAGCAATAAACGGGTTTTAATCTTTATTTCTCCCTTTGACTAATTTTGGTTTTAGAGGTATTTTGTTCCTGGATTTCCTTTCCCCCTGACTTACATCATACTAGAATATACTAATGCTTTCTGCACTTCATAATTTGTAAATAATACAGCTAACTCTTATGCCTTATGCTTTCCTGTTCTAGTGAATAAAGGAATATCCAGTTTTTATGTGCTTTCTTGTAGAAGAGAAGTAAACAATATGAATGGATCACAAAATAAAAATAAAATGCCACCAAGGACATTACAGAAAGATTTTTGTTCTCTGCTACAGTAGTTGAAAACAAATGTAGGAATTTGATTTCTACTAGCTCTGATTGCTGAGTTGGGTGTTTATCTCCCTAAACCCTGAACGGGTGTGTCTGTTTTTCCCTTTGGAGTAGATTCTACCGAGTACTGAAAATGGTGTGTACTTGGACTGGCCCCAACCAAATGCACTGTCTCTAACAGAGAAAAATATAGTCACAAGAAAGACACGCATACTTGCTAACCCAGGCATATCTCACCTGCCCACCCCTTGCCCTCAGCCTCTTGGCACAGATCATTTGGATGTACCCAATGTACTCTTTCTGTCTCAGTGATCCCACCTACAAGAGGAAATATGCTTAGACTGCTTCATTATGAAAATATTCTAAAAAGCCCCAAGATACAGAAGTGGGCACTGATAGAGAAACCCGGTCCCTGGCCAAGTGTTTTGTTGAACGGATGAATTTTCAATATTCCTTTTAAGGGCACTGAAGGACAGACTACATATGCTCTAAGCCAACCTTGTCTATGGAAATGAAGACTTTAAAAAAAGTTAGTGTTACCTTTGGGGTCTGGATGAATGCCCTCCTAAAACATTTTTTGGCCTGCCTAGAAATGCAGCTTCTAGAACAATCAGATATGCAACCCTTTAAAAAGCATGCCTTTATTTTGTGCTTGAGTTTCTGTCTATGCAATGGTAAAAGAGAAAGAAAAATGGCAACTTACTTTCATTGCAAACTGGATACATGTCCGTTCGTCAACTTGATACGAGACACAGAGCATGAACAAACCAAGATAGGCCACTAAGCACACCTGTAATGGAGAACACGGACAGAAGGGTGTTACCAGGGCGAGTTGTACATTCTAATGACATCAATCTCAGTGCCTTTCGCCAGTAACATCCTTGTTATCAAGGTGCTCATTTCACTTACTTATCTTTACAGGCTGTTTTTTTGCTCAGCTGGTGGAACAGGAGTTTTTAAAATAGCGTGATTGCTTTATTTCAATGTAGCCAGTATTTATTAAGTTCTTTTGATGTGCCACATGCTATGCAAAGTCCTTCAGCATATACAATGAGTGTGTAAGTGTACACTCAACCTCAATAAGTGTACAGTCTAGTCTAGGCCAAGGTAAGTGCACACACTATTCTAAAGCAGCGCATTACATATCAAATGCTATTCAGCAAAGTACAAAAAGAGGAAAAAATAACATGAGTCGGGTGATTAAAAAAGACTTTACCAAAGAGGTGGATTTGAAATAGTTCTGGAAGGGGATGGTGATAATAACAATCTCTAACATTTAATGAATACCTACTTTGTACTGGGGCTCCTCTAAGGGCTTTGTGTACATTTCCCCATGTAATCATCACAACACTGTATGAAGTAGGCGCTACCATGATCCTCATATTATAAATGCAGAAACAGAAGCACAAAGCTAGTAACAAATGGAACCAGCGCTCAAATCAGGTAGCTTGGGTACAACAGCACGAGCAACAGCAGAGGTAGGGCTGCACAAACTGTGGCAAGAATTGCAAATGCACACCCAGCTGAAATAAAACATAGAACAGAAGAGGGAGCTTGAAAATCTGGGCATGTAGGATTGATTTAGTACAGAGTGGGGCTCCCTTGAAATTTTCCAGCAGGGGAATGACATGATTCAGGACGTGTTTCAGGGAAATGAGTAGCGGTGTCCAGCGGGCTGGCAGCGAGAGCATCGTGATATCATTTTACTAAGCTAAGCAAAATGAATATATCAGGCGGCCCAGAGCTCAGATGGTGGCAGGCAAAGTCAGAGATCAAGGCGAAGCAGAAAGGTGCGGTGAGAGCAGATTTCGTGTATCATGGCTGTTACGTGATTCACGGGAGGACACTGGGGAGGGAGAAATAGGAAGCAATCTCCCTGGTGTTGATCGGCAGTGTTAGAAAGAAAGGGGATGTGCCTGGCTGAAAAAAGGCTGGCAGGAGGCATGACAACTTTGAGAGAACAGATACTCGATGGGTTAGTCACACAGGATTTTCTTTTTAGTGCCCTGGAGTTTTACTCTGATTTAGAGTTTCTAATCAAAGCTCATCTATCCACTCTCAATGCCGGAACCTTTAAGATGTTACCAATTTCTGCTTTGCACCAGAAAACATAAGCAACAGAATTTTCTGATAAGCGCAAGTTTCCTAAGACAGATGTTGGAAGGGTGGCTGAGAGTCACCCAGCAGGTCATTAACGGACGGATTCGGTCACAGTCATGATTCCTACTCGGAGGGCCAGCTCTGCTCGTGGGGTAGAGTTGTACACTTACAAAGCCAACCCAGCGTGTTAACACATCTATCCCATTCTCCCCTTGATTACAACCTCAGTAAGTTGCTTGTGCCCTCCTAGGTTACCAACGTGAGAGTTATTCAGGTTTCTACTGGGCTGTGAAGCCAAAAACCAAGCCTTCCTTTAGTACAGGCTGTTTCCAGGGTCTTCCATCCCTAGGACTGGCTGATGGCGGTACAGAACAGTCCCAGAGGGGAAAGACAGCATTAAAATCGGTGAGCGGGGCAAAGGCTGGAGAGGTTTGGGTACCAAACGAGCAGAAAGAGCCCAGGAAGGGGTTTTTCAGCAGAAGACAGGCAGACGCCCAAGCAGAGATACCGACGTTCTCTGTGTAGCCCACCATGCAGCCGCCATTTCCAAGTCAAGATGAATTTCTTTCTCAAAGCTCATTTAAAACAATTATCTAATTGAGGTATAAGGTTGATAAGGCCTGTAGGGGCTTCCTGTGTTAATTTTCACATTAAGAATTTACAGAACTGGAACAAAGGGAGAAAGCCCTCCTTTTTTGTTCATTGGTAGCAAGCCAGATGGAGGCTTCTAGACCTCCTTCTCTGGGGATTGTTAAGTCCCTAAGCACGTGCCCACACTCCCTTGTCAGGGTGTGTCTGCAGGAGCCCAGGGCTGGGCCTTCTTCCACAGCTGTCTTCTTGGTCTGTAGAAGGTGCTGTGAAGTCAGCAGTGCCCAGTCTTTCCTCTTGACCTTTGTGAGAGATGTGTTCCAATAATTATGCCTAACTGACCAACATCTTAAAAAACTGACTGTCTGTTTTGCTTGAACAAACTTCCCCACTTTAGTAGTATCTACTTTGTGGCCTTAAACTGGGCTGGTTTACAGCAAAAAGTTGCAGAGAACTTAAGGCCTCACTCTAGAGCATTTCACTTTGTCAATTGACAGAACTTATTTTGAAGACAGAATAGCCGGACCCTCTGGGAATTGAAAGGTAAAAGGACAGAGTCCCAGCCTTCAAGGAGCTCTCTGTCCAGTGGGAAAAGAGAGGAGAATAAAGTTATAGTACCACATAAGGACGGGGACCCCTGCTGATAGTGATGCACAGAAGGGGTGGCTGACCTGAAGGGGACTCAGGGAAACTTCCCTTAGGAAGGTGAGTTTTGAAGGGTAAGCGGAAATTAGCTGGGAGAAGAATGTGTGGAAAAGTAAAGAGAGTATGCATAAGTACAAAGGGCAGGCTCAAGGAGAAATGCCGAGCAGACAGCGGAAGACTCCCCCAGCTCCCTGCCAGAGGATCGGAGAGGAAAGGGTACACACGCTGGCTTGCGGAGAGGGGCTGCAAGTAGGTCACACAGGACTTTTATTTTGACCTAGGAATAAGTCCTTCTGGCTGCGAGGAGCGGACTGGGGACAGTACAAGCAGCTGGGAGGCTGTCCTCCATCCATGGAGAAACCACAGCACCTGAGCTCAGGGTGTGAGAAGGATGGAGGGGGTAGGTTGGCGAGAAGAAGGAAGCAGAATCCATGGGACTGACGTCAGGGCTGCAGGAGAGGTCAGGGTCAGGAAGGCGCTCGGCTAGCTGACTTGGACTGCCCAGTGGATGGTACTGGCAGTTAATGAGACACGAGATAGGAGAGGAAGAGCAGATTCAAGTGGCAAACTGTGACGTCTGCACGGACTCAAAGCTCAGCCACCTAGGCCTGGAACTCAGGCAGGAGGTCTGGGCTGGAGATGAGCACTTGTCAGTCATCAGTTCATGCGAAGCTTCTGAAACCACTAGAAACGCTGGACCATCCAGCGTCCAGAGAAAACAGAAAAGGGCCCAGGAGTTACCCAGCTTTGAAGAACCTTTGACTCTTTTGAACAAAAGCATCTCGAATACACTTCTCAGAATGTTGGCTGTACATCATGACTTGTTGAAATCTTAAGAAACTGATCATCCTTCTGGATTTTTGAAAGTTTCACTTCTAGCTCCTTGTATAGGGTATTTGCTATAAAGCCTGAATCAATCCAACATATTCTGATTTCTTGGCCTTCTGATAGGATTTGATAGGCTCTAGGATGGGGGGACTTCATTTTCTTACCTGCCACTCTGCATGTTAGAACAATAGTTCTTTATCAGAGAGTTAACCTGTGTTGCATGTAGACACCTTCTAGAAGGGCAGTATTTAGTGAATACTTAAAACTGAAGGCTTTGTGGCCATGGGGAGGAAATGAGACTTCTTATGCCAGACTAAGGGTCTTGTTTCCTGAGCTGGCAGGATGCAGATGTGCCAGAAGACAGGGTGTCTGGCTTCCCAGGCAGGGAATGGGGAGCCCATGTTAATGAGCAGTGAGACCCACCAGTCCTGCTGGATCCCAGGCCAGGGCTTCCACCAGATATGGTGAGGTGAGGCCCACGGCACTGGAAAAAGGCCACTGTGTCAGGCTTTCAAGAAGGCACCCTTCAGAACAGACACACAGGCCTGGGGAGGACAGGTGGTGTCACTGAGCACAAAGCCAGTGAGGACTGGGTGGCACGGAGACACTACTGCTGAAAGGCAGCTAGCCTTAGAGGTTGTGAAGATTTAGTTCATGTACAGATGGATAATTATGTTGACAAGAAGAGCTGGAAATTATTTTTGAATAGAAAAAAGAGAAAGACCACCATCATAATTTTTAACTTATTTTTGAATGCATGTTTCTACAATTTGTTTAGTGTAAAGAGAAAACCTAAGTCCCAAATTCCATATTCTGTTTCAAGATACTCCGCGCAGAGTGAAGACTGCATTCTCCCTGTTAGAAAGTTAAACAGAGTAGAAATGTTCTCTGACTGTTAGATCCGCTTCTAGGTGTGTGAGTCCTGAGTCTTGGCACACGGTGTCTTTGTGTCATTTGGCCTGACTGTATCTGCAGCGGTGCCTTGTAAGGGTCGGCATTGTAACCGAAAGGTGAATGCCAGACCAGTGTCCTGGACATTTTAATTTTGGCAAAGCTAAAAGGTATTACCCTGAAACATTTTGGGAGAATGTGAATTCTTGGTATTTCCTTGTTCCACATTATACGCATTTATATTCTGGTCTTGTGACATTCACGCAACCTCCAATTTATTTGTTTTCTTCTTTTTGCTGTCAACCGAGCTGCTCCAGAGAGCTGTCTGGGGAACACAACCTTTCCCGTCAGGTGCCTTTCATGGTTCCCCTCCTCTTTCCATCCCCCTCTTTCGTTTGTGTATCTGAACTGTGACTCTATTTCTGTAAGTTAATCAACTTTCCTCTTTGTATTTAAAGTGATTTAATTCAGTCAATATAGTAGCAAGATGAACTCTCTTCTCATGTTTGCACAGCCAATTGATCAAGAAATGTAGCAGAACTATAGATGTTGCTCTGGATGTTTCTTAAGAGAATGTCTATGGACTTAATAAAATGTTAAGTAGAATATTAGAAATCATTTTCAACAAATGATAAATATATTGCAATCTGTCAACTGAATGTAGTCTCATGCAGGAGAACTGTGGACTAATACACAGTGTACCAGAGATTTAAATAACATACAAAAGAACATTTCATG